TCCTTCCTTCCTTCCTTCCTTCCTTCCTTCCTTCCTTCCTTCCTTCCTCCCACCCTCTCTCTCACACACACAGACACACACACACACACACACATATATATATAATTTTTATTAAGAATTTTTTCAAACAGTTCAAGACAAACCTAAGAGAAGAAGTAAAAGAATTAAAAGAAAAAGAAGAACAAGTGTGAAAAACAAGAAGGAAAAAAGAGAAAATTAACTAAAGAAACAAAAATAAGTGACTTTTGATCTTCTTTGTAACAGAAATTAACAAATTCATTACCTAACCTCCCTCCTTAGTATTACAGAAATCCCTTCAGGCCCATATTTAATTCTTTTTCAGTCATCAAATCCATAAATAAGCACTTCACTTTTCTCTCGTTTTCAGCAAAAAGTCCATAAAAGGTTTCCAGTCTTTTAGAAAAGTACTTAAATTGTTTTATCCCTGACCAGACAGGTCAGTTTTGCCATTTCTGCTAGTTGTAACATCTTCACAATCCATTCCTCCATTGTGGGAATAAACCACAGCCATTCCAACTAAACAAAACTGCTACAGGCTGGTTCGTACATGAAAAATGATTTCTCTCAATTAAATACGGGCACTCGGTTTGGAAAGACCGAAGGCCCGCGTACAACGAGAACTACGTTAACAGCTACCAAGATTTTTTATTCCTGAATTCCACAAAATCTTGTGTTGAGTTTGGGTATACTATGCATTTAGGTGTGTATCTTGCACCTATGGAAAGTAGACCTGTGGTTGATTCTCTAAAAGAAGAGAGGGGAGTCACATGGATATGTCAATAAATACATTTCTGTCTTTATATCGATAGTGAAAATCCATCATCAGGTGACTTAACTGTGCTTCCCTTAATATTTCTTCTTTTTAAGCAAATCCCTTGCAGACTACACAAAGCAGTTTATTGTGTCGGTCATCGTGGGAAAGGACGTCGTTCCCAGGTAAGGGTGTCACGTATGTAGTTCGTGTTGAGAACAGTGTCTTGTAGGGAACGCCTTGAATTGTGACCTTTTCTCCCTTCTGTTGTGCACAAAACAGGTTAAGTATGCTCAACTTGGAAGATCTCAAAAAAAGGATCATTAGAATCGTTGCCAACTGTAACAAACCCAAGGTAAAAATCCTTCGGTAAATTTTTTTTGGGGGGGTTAGTTATTTTCTTATTATTGAAAAGGAAAAAAAACGCACATAGAAAGCGCTTTAAGAAAAAAGTGAAAGAAATTCCACAAAAAACATATTAATGTGTCATTATAACAATACATTACAATTCGATATATACTTATCTAATGCAAATATTATTCTAGTCCATATATATTTCTAATACATTTCTATGACTACTGTGTTTTTTAAAAAATTTTTTAAACTTATTGTATTTTGTATAAACGAGTCCTATGTTTTATTGTACTTTCCTTGGTAAATTATTTTGAATGGGCCTCTTAACTAGGGGTGGGTGGATTTGCTGGCTTAACTTTTGCTGTTTCTTACTTAATGGGCCAGTTGCGTAGGTGGGAAAATAACAGCAGAAATACCACTCTTATTCTCTTCTGCTCTCACTCTTGCGTGACCTTCCGTAACACCACTGAGATGTCATTCAAAAGCAGGTTGTTGGGCACTGAAGTCAACTTCCACCCTCCACATTTTTCACAAATCATTTTTTTTCCCTTCACATTAAGTAATCAGGAAGGTCAAAAGAGTACTGCAGCTTAAGATTTGTGCTATCATGATATTAGCAGAGCTCCGAATCAGCGTGGGTAGAAATGTTCTTGGTCATTTATTGCCCGCTCTCCTTAACATGATCCAATAAAATCAAAGAGTTTCATAATTTCCTTATCTCTTCTTCTTCTTCTTCTTCTTCTTCTTCTTCTTTTGGTCTTTCTGTTGCCCAACATTCAGTACCAGATTCTCTTACATGGGTGCTGGTATGAAGTCTTTGGAGGAAAACCTGATAACTTCCCAACAGAACTGGATGGTAGAAACCAAGATGCTTTGACCCAGCCTCTCCTAGCTGAAGAGAACTTGATGGTCCACCATTCTCCTTCGTACACTACTTTAGATGACAATTCCCCTTTAAGTTCTGGCCCTCAATATCCTCACTTGTTTCTTCCTGGGAGAATCATCCATATTGTTGAAGAAAACAGCACAAGGTAGGTAGGTTTATTAAGGGAGGGATGTCACTTTGTGGTCAGACGCATCTTCTCGAAGATCGTAAGCAAAGGCACTCTGGATCATAACTGCCTGAATATGTAGGACTGAAGAGGTAACGATCCCTTTTATAGTTATTGCACAAATCTAGCGATACGTGCTTGATCAGTGCAAGTCCAATAAAAAGAGGGAAACTGCACTAATACTTAATGAACTTAAATGTTTTAATGTGGGCTGTTTAGCTTGAAGCCGAAAAAAAACCTTTGTCTAAAGGAAACCATGCCCCCAACCCCATACTGCTGACAATGTAAATGTTGCAAGTTACGCACACTCTTCCTTTTTGGCACTAATATCCAGACTGTTCTCCATCTGCAAGAAAATACAACTTCTCTGTCTTGGATTTTTTTGGGTTGACCTTATGAAATAATCTATTTTAAGAATAGCTTGCATGAGCAAGCTTCTCTTAAGTCCTCTTTGGCATCACATGTACAAGAACTATTTTTCTGCTCTTCTCATTTATGCTAGAGTTGGCAAGCACAAGATAACTGAAATCATGTGTTAACCTTTTGCCTTCAGGAAACCCTTTCCATATTTTGTTCTATATTAGGAGTGTGCAAAACATCTTGCTTTGAAATGTTCCAAGCATAATATTTTGCAAAGCTTCCCAGATTGTTTGTTTTTAGTGTGAAGGGCTTATCTCCATGTTTTATTATGGTCATTCCATTTGTTTCCAACTTGAAGCCCTTCCAGATCTTCAGGGTGGCCTGTTTCATCCTTGAAACATGAGTTTGCAAAAGTTTGCAGGAAAAATTTTGCACTCAATTGTTAATAATATCCAAAATATTGTGGCTCACTAGGTTTACTCTGTATTCCTGTGAGGGAACAGAAAGTATTTAAATAAGGCAAGGAGCCTTAGACTTCAAATCCAGCATTGACATTTTCTTCTTTTGCAGGTGGTTCTCTTCCGAAGTCAAATATTCAGCAAACTGGTCAAGAGAAACTGCCTTTGGTAATATTTTAGTAAGCCCCAAGATGATAACCGATCATTTGCCAGACGTAGTCCTTAGAGCTCTGTTCAGCTTGCTCGAAACCAATACAGCTTGCCTTTCCTGCCAAACACAAGGGGACACCTTTCTGAATGCTGTATAATTGCAGAGATCGGACAAACATAACATGACTGTTTCCAGGCATTCACAAGAGCAGCCTTTAGCAGTTCAGCTCAGTATGTCTGAAGCAGAAACCGAGGCAAGATCTTCAGAAGTTTCTGGATGACGTTGGGTTGCAGTAACGTCTTCTGGACTGCTCTGTTAATGGGAGCCTTTTAAAGCTGAGGTGTTTCGTCTTGACAGAAAGATGTGATTTGAAAATGAAGTTTAATATGTCACGTCTGACCAGGGACTGCTGTGACTGAGAACAACCCAAATGATGGGAGACGGAGAGTGGTGGTTGATGTGATCCTAAAGATCCAGAACTTTAGATCCAACTGATATGCTACAGGTTTTTCTGAAACGTGTCCTCAAAACAGTTCCCTATGGCATAGTGACATGTAACTGCAGGTTTATGAAGTACTTGTAAATGTGTAAGTAAATCAGGAATGTTGGGGAAAATTAAGTTCAAGACATCACCTACTTGGATATGCAGTGATGATCCCTTGCCAGTTCTTACGCTTCTGTTGATGATCAGAAATGTCTTGGTTCTCTTTCTTCTGCAAAGGAATTAGCATTTCAGATGCTTTTCACGGACTGAACTCTATTCTTGGATATATGTGCAATTATGTCTACTTTTGTTTACAGTTCTTTAACCCCGCTAAATGTGCAATTACAGAAAATTTAAAATCCGTTGTCTTTTGTTCTTCCTGTGTTAGTACAAACCAGAAGGATCATTTTAGCTGTGTCAAGACCTTGTCATTTTTTTTCAAAAAAACAATTCTTACTCACATATACAGCTGATAAAGCTTGGTGTGATTGTCCAGAAACAAATTCAGAGATCGAATCACGTAATTGCCGCCCTGATGGTCGCTGGTGGGATGTGGCACTATTTTTTTGTGTTTTTTTCATAGATCTTCTGATAGAAGGAAAGTAGGCTAATTTTCAATGCATCGGGTTCCTGGAGAAATTATGCAAATCAGGAAGAGTGCATGCTATTAAAAAACAAATGTATTTCCGTTCTGGAAGTGAACTAGATCTGAGCTGGCCATTCTTTTTTGCCCCATTCTGATTTCAGCAGCAAATAACAAGGTCAGCAATGGGGTTTTTTAAAAAGACGATTTAAGTAAGGCCAGGACATAGGATTCCAGAGTCAGATTGGAAAATGTAGGAGGGTGCTGGTAGACAATGACCAGAAGACAGTAGTGGTGACAGATGTAGGGGTGTCAGGTGACAGGAACATCAGGAAGAAGGAATATGAGAAGCTGGGGAAGGACCAGGGCTTGAAGGAGGACCTAGAGGGGATGTGGAAAGTAAAGGCCAAAGTGGTCCCAGCGGTGGTAGGAGCACTTGGGGCCGTGACTCCTAAGCTGGGAGAGGGGCTCCCACAGATCCCAGGAAGAACATCTGAGCTCTCTGTCCAG